CTGCTGAACTACATTTGGTACCCAACATACAATAGTCATAGAGAAGAACACAATAGTGAAAAATCTCTATCAGAGCAGAAAATTTGGGGAAAGCACCACTGCCATCACCACCAAAAAAAACCTAAAAAAATCATCCTTTGACCCTGTATCTTTAAGATAAATGTAGCCAATCTCAAATTATTGTCAGCTTACTGATATTCAGCTAATGAAGGCAAGAAGTTATCGATGAAATTTCAATCTAGCAAAAAGTTGAACTCTTCCTTTTACATGGCATTTAAATGTGAAGGCAGAAGTCTTTTTTTTTTTTTAAACTCATCAATATAAAGAATTGAAAAAATAAGGAAGATTTAAGGTTGACAAGACAAGAGATTTGGGTAGTTAGGACAAGGCCAAGAGATTTGGTGGTGATTGAGATGAAGGAGAAAACACATGGAGATGGACTACTGGACAATGCAAAATTTGCCTGAACAACTTTCTTTTTGTTGGCCAATTATTTCAAAATAAAAAAAAATAAATCTGCTAACCCTATAGATAAAACCAGTTAGTACAAGCAGAAAGAGAGAGACAGAATCAAGAGCTTATAAAAAATAACTCCCCCCCCCTCTCCATTTATGCAAACACTGCTTAGAAGTGTGTGTGTTTTGTGGTCAAAGAGTACAAGACAGGGCAATAACCAGCTTGGCAAGTAAAGATCCCTCTTTGTCAAACTGGTCCAACCCCAGGAAGAGTATAATTAAAAACACTATTAAAAATTCTGTCACAGCAAGCACTAAGTTAAGTTGTTCATGGCCACAGAAGCAAAGATCTGGGCACAGCTCTCGTAGCAATTTAATCAACACTGGACACCAATAATTAGGATTTCTGCACAAAAGCCCTGCCTGAGCATTGGTACTCTCAACTAGAGAAAAAATCATTTTTTTTAATCTTAAGCCACGTGATGCACAACTTTTTAAGGCTTTATTTGTGGGGAGCAAGTTTAAACTGGTCCTGCCCAAAAACTGCCGGCTCTCATGGCGTGCCCAGCCCCCAGACTGGACAGACAAGCCTGTGCACGTGTGCTCACACAGAAGCATCACCTCGTTCGGATCACGGGTGTGCAAGAGCAGGTGGCTCTGCAATTGGGGTGCCTCTGCTTGGAGCCACACTTCCCTCTCTCTCAGCTTACTGGAAGTCAGCCAGTCCTGATGCAGCCCCATAGTACTGAGGATGCTTCTGCGGACACTGCTGGGATTAGGGTGCTGGCTGAACAAAGCCAGGCTGAGGCAAAACTGTTACTAGTTCAAGCACTGGCCTTTCAGATGAGCTCCCACCCCAGCAGTTTTGGTGTGCTGCTTCTGCAAACATCTTGTGCTCCATAATAAAATCAGTTACCGAAATGAATCTAGCCCACTTGAAGGATTGTACCTGATACTGGGTCCAGAGGAGGCCACGGAGATGATCCGAGGGCTGGAGCACCTCTGCTATGGAGACAGGCTGGGAGAGTTGGGGCTGTTCAGCCTGGAGAAGAGAAGGCT